ATAAAATCAATATTATATTTGGTGTTCCTTTTGTCTTTCGTATCACTGTTTTTAGTTTTACCTCACTGTAATTATTATACAGCTGACAGAACATGATATTACACAATCTATATAAATAAAATAAAGATTTTGTCTGTACATTGAATGTAATCTACCCGTTTTATGATATCTTTCCGTTTCATACATTGCAGAAACCAAATCCACTTTTAAAAAAATTGTTGTCTATCTGTATGTCCGCATTGCAACGAAATTTTGTTAGAGGTAAGCTCAGCAATGGCTTATTGTAGACTTTTGAAATTTTGACATTATATCAAGGTTTGCTTGAGTAGAACCAAAGTCATGAATTCTTGAGTAATTTCTCTAGAGATCCCCGTTAGGCAGTTACTTCGATTCCCATCCCGACCAACTCTATTACGAGCGACATTTAGAAGTTTTACTATTCGACTGATGGAAAAAATTATCACAACTCAACGGCAAAAATCCGGAATACCGAACATTTGTAACGCGTTTTCGCATAAACCGGGATACAAAATATTCCCTTAACTATGTCCATCACTGAACAGCTTACCCTTGTTTTGGTTAAATCTTGTAATTTTTTCAAAAGATCCACTTTTACATTTTATTATATTTACATTTTTTTTTTTTTAATTTGTCTGGTGAACTAACAATTATTATTTAACATTCGTAGGTTTCCTTTAATATTTCGAACTCGATCATAATTTTCTGTATGGTAATTGATTGTCTTAAAGTAATATTATACTATGAAATTATTCTCAATATAAGAAAATACCTAAAAAATACTTCTACTCAAAATAGGGTGATAAGTGAAAGCTGCGTGATTCGCGCACCTCACCAAACTTTTCTATAATGCCTTCCAGAACAGTGGATTTTAATATTTCAAATCCGATTTATCAATGTTATTCGAGTGATTTCTTTTCAATCATTTAAATGATAAAATTAACTGTATAAACAGTTTCTGCGATACTGTTAAATTATTTTATGATACTACTTTTTTATTACGAAGCGGTTGTTAATTTATTCACGGTCATGTTTCTAATCATCATAGAAATAACAGCTAACAACTTTTATCATTACTTTTTTTCTTTAAAAGAAATAAACTTCGAAAGCCAAGATATCTTACACAGTTCTATCTCTGTGACTTGGATTCGAGTTCGGCTGTGGCAGATAATTGTGCTGTAACATCAGCCGTAGACCCTCTTGAAGTACATCGAACATCCTAATTTGGGGAGAATAGTCCGTGGTACAGACCCCTTTTTATCAAATTATTAACATCCGTCTGGAACTTCGTGAATCGCTTCATCTCATCGTAACCTACAACAATTTAATTTATGAAAACTCTTGGAATTGCAGCGTTTTAAATCTGGATATCGGCAGACTTTGTCTATTTAATTAGGTACTAAAAACTCGTATATACCCACTTGCTTTCTACCCAGTTCGTAACATAATATGATAATAAAAATCTAGAAAAAAGGTGGCCTGCAAAAATATTGTGCCGTTTGGCCTTTACAACCTTTGGGGATGTAGGTCCCGCCAACTGCCTCAATATTTTTGAAGGCCACCTTTTTTTTCGAGTTTTTGCTCAAATTATCTTACGATTGGAGTGGAAAGCAAACGATTATTTACTAGTTTTAAGTACCTAATTACTACCACTCACTAAGCATTGTGAGTAGATAAAATTTGTTTTCCTTAAGTTCTAATTTGTTATTCATGGAATGTATTTCAGTGAAATGTATTTTATTTCTAATTATCTTCAACATACTTCTCGCTATGTGTATATATATACTTTATTTTATTTTCTCTTCTCCTAATCTTTACGCATAATCACTTAAATATCTTAGGGAACATATGTATATCATTATTTTTTTGTTTTAGTTTTTACAATTTCTTTCCCTACATATTAACAGTTATTATTATTTTTTTAAATTTTTATATTCCATCACTACAATGCTTTACCTATAAAATAGATTTTACTTTCCTTTATAATTTCATTCAGTGATTATTATGCTATTGTTTTAGCTCCAATATTGTAGTACTGAACCCCTATTACCCAACTGTCCTCGTTAATTTATCCTAAGATCCTAATTAATACTTAATGTATTACATGTATTTTGTTATTATTCATTGTAATAAGTCTTTTGACCAGATTTGTAGTTAATATATATGAACAATACTGTTATTCTAAAGGGACCTAGTCCCAGAATAAAGATGATTTTTCTATTTCTATTTCTATTTCTAATTAAATAAATATAGTTTGACGATCTTCACATTGAAAACGCCCCAATGCCGAGAATTTTCGTAAATATAATATCTGTAGATTACGATTTATTTTTTATTTTATTTATCTATTTATTTATTTCATTTTTATTTGTTTATTTATTTGTTTTTTTATTGTTTTTTTTTTTTTTAATTTAGTTATGTATTATAGTATTACTTTTTTCCGACTTATATTGCGGACTGATTGCTATCTCCGTAATTTTTAAAATTACTTTATATATAGTGTGTATTTTATGTATGTATATTTTTCTTTTATACTTTTATCGACGCAGCTGCTTTTTGTATGTAAATGCATTGCTCAGTATATTATAACCTAATGTTAGTATGTTTTCTTTTTTTTATATGATTCTTGGAGTCCAATATCCAAGATAAAACGTTACGATGGTGAAGGTAGCACCAAATTGAATTGGAAATTGAGAAAGGTCTGGAGTTTTGTTATTTTGAAAAATATATTAACTATGTATGAACTACCAAATAAATAAATATACCCATTTGCTTTCTATCTGCTCCGTAAAATAATTAGATAAAAAAAAATCTAGAAACAAAAGGTGGCCTGCAAAAATATTGTGCCGTTTGTCCTTTACAACCTCGTCATTTTGGGAATGTAGGTCACGCCAACTGCCTCAATATTTTTGAAGTCCGCCTTTTTTCTCGAGTTTTTGCTCAAATTATCTTACGATTGGAGTGGAAAGCAAACGGTTATTGACGAATTTTTAGTACCTAATTAAATAAATACAGTTTGACGATCTTCACATTGAAAACGCCCCAATGCCGAAAATTTTCGTAAATAAAACATTTGTAGATTACGATGAGATGAATTTATTTCCAAACTTTCAGGTGGATGTTAATAATTTGATAAAAATGGGTCTCTGTTCTACAGATAAAATCATTTTTTTACATAACATGAGATGAATCTGAAGATTTTCTCTGATAAACCTCAATTTAATTAATGTAGACTTAAAGCATATTAAACGATGAAGTTTTTCTTAAATTGGGATAACTGTGCTACAGTTTAAGGATGATAAAAAAAAAATCACAAATAGTTTATGATTTAAAAAAAAAAACTTACATTAGTTTAGTTACTCATAATTCCTCTTTAAATAGTTTTAAAAATGATAAACTCTACTTTCGTTTAAAGTAAATTCTGTCTAGTTTAACGTGGAGCAATGCCTAATTATTTTTTAAGTTATCGCTTCTTGTTCAACAAAAAACCTGGTTTGCTTAAAAAAAACACAAGTCTTAAATTAACTACTTCTCTGCTGGAAATTTGGCAATTGTTTATATGAACTTTTTTGTATATCTTGATGTCTACTATCAACCTTTTAAATATTTTCCTCAATAACTATTATAATTATTATTTCATTACTAGTAGGCCCGTGCTAAAAAATTGCACAGTATATACTTCATTGATAAAATAATAAATAATAATAAAATAAAATAATGCAACGTATCATAAGATAGGTAAATCAATTGTTACTTGTTCGCTAAATATAATCGACAAAGGAAACAAAAAATAATTTAAAACTTATTTAATGTTTGGAACCAACAGAGTAAGTGTGTAATTTTTGAGTTATTCCCAAATAAAGTTTCCTTTCTTTCATAACTTTTTTGCCGAAATTTTCTGGGTATTTGGACTGTTTTTCTCACCTGAAGGAGAAGGAAAACTTCGAAATTGGGGGCTATTGTAATAATTATCCCCACATGTATTATTATACATGTATTACATGTATGTGCTTAAATTCCATGAATGGGGAACATTTTGCAAGGCTTCAATATTAGAACGGTGGTAAATCTATAGATCGATACGGGACAAATTGAGCTATGAAGATTTTGATGCGTACAGCAAGACCCGGATAGTTCCTCCGGAACTATCGGATTCTACGTTTTTAAGCCCCAAAACGTACTATTTTCAAAATAACGCAAGGCATACGGTTCGCATCCACACAACCTTACATTAATTGTAGTACTGTCATTGAATACATGTCTCATTTCGTCGACTTGAGGCCTCTATGGTCGAGAGAGGAGGAATTTATATTATTTATCGATGGTGTTTTTGATCGGAAAGCCATATCATCGTTAATTCTTCACTAAATCCACAAGATTGAGCCACCAATTTCGAAGGCTTCCTTCTCCTTCATTTGAGCAAAAAAAGTCCAATCACACCGAAAATTCAGGCATACAAGTTATAAAAGAAAACAAACTTTATTTGCGAATAACTAAAAAAATACACATTTTTCCCTTATGCCCATGATTATATAAAAGATTACTTGATTCCCTATAAAAAATATCATCGAAATTGGACAATTTTTAGCCAAGATACAGCTTACTGAAATTTGTAAACATGTTGGTTCCAAACAAAAATGAAGATTTGAATTAATTTTTGTTTTCTTTGTCGATTATATTTGTCGATAAAGTAACATTTGATTTCTTTATTTTTTGATACGTTGCATTATTTTATGTTCTTATTAATTTGGCATTTGATAACAATATGCTGTGCGAATTTTTTGCACGGGCCTACTAGTTATAAATAACTACTTAAGTATAGTTGTACTTGATGCTTTTATGTAGACAATTCTGTTATTATCATTTTATTTTAACTATAATCTAATTCATGATGTCGAAACTGTTGTTGATGATACAAGACAAGTTGTTTATTGTCCGGTTCCATTTTGCTGGAATGAGGCCGTTGACGTAGAATGCATTCTTCACATGTCTCGTTCGGCACTAAACAGCCTTCCCTTCTCCATTAACATGCTACTATCGAGATTACCCGAGGCTTGCAAGAGCGTGATCATGGAGGAATGTGGCGAAGTCGCAACCTTAGAGTGAAGAGGGCTTTCATTATTGGCCATTTTAATGACACCAGGTAGCCAGGACGCGCCTTGTTTACGGTCGACTGGCAGCAAACTCGATAATAGAGAGGAAATTGGAAGCCGAAATTAACGGAGAAATTGAATGTTTATGATGAGGAATTTTTAATTTACAAGAAAATACTAAAGAAAAAGACGGATGGTTAGGGTGATCAGTCAAAAAAAAAAAAAAAGCAAAAATAAATTGTAATATTAATTTTTATATTTGCCGACGTTTCGGCCTGAAGTTCAGGCCTTCATCAGGGCTAAGAAAAGAACCAGATGACAATAGGTATGAAAAACTATAAACATTGAATAATAAAGAATTAAAATAAAAAAGTGAAAGGTATAGACTAAAAAATGTAGGTCGAAAAAAAACAACAGAAAACTAAGAAATAAATAATAATAATGAAAATAAAGTATGGACTAATGAAGTAAACATAGTCAAAATAAGGTAACATAAGAAATAAAAAATGGTGATCTTAAAATAAAATGTAAAACAATTTTTTAAAGTTTATTTATAAAATGTTTTACATTTTATTCTAAGATTATCATTTTTTATTTCTTATGTTACCATATTTCGACTATGTTTACTATGTTATGTTACAAGGACTATGTTTACTAGAACTATGTTAGAAGAGGAAATTTGGAATCTCTTTTAAAAAATATAAACTTCAAGACTCGTTTTTTAAATAATAAAAAAAGTTCATTTGGGTTTTGTTTATTTGAGAAAAATTATGCATGACTCAAGGATAAAAAGTTATAAAAATTGTACTATCGAATTACTGGGAAAGTGTGTAATTTTTGAGTCATAAGTTTTTTGCCGGAATTTTCTGGGTGATTGGACTATTTTTTCCGCGTGAAGGAGAAGAAAACTTTCAGAATTGGTGACTCAATCGTGTGGGTTTGATGAAGAATTTACGATGATATGGCTCACCGACAAAAAAACACCTTTGGTAAACAATATATGAACTCCTACTCTCTCGATCATAGAGACCTCAAGTCGACGAAACGAGACATGTGTTCAATGACAGCACTACAATTAACGTAAGGTTGTGTGGATGAGAACGCTATGCCTTGCGGTATCCCGAAAATAGTACGTTTTTGGGCTTAAAAACGCAGAGCCCGATATCCGAGTCTTAGTGTACGCATCAAAATACAAAAAACATAATCTGTCCCTAATCGATCTAGAGACCACCGTTTCAGTATTGAAGCCTAGCAAAATGTTTGTATCGACTTTATTTATTAGAAAGAAAAACAATAGGAGAGAGTACGATTCGCTAACCCTCCGTGAAATTCTAAATCCAACTGGGGTACGGCATTCATGGTATTACAGCATGACAGGAGCTTATATTTGGTATAATAATAAATGAAGATCTAAAAAATGACTTTTATTCTTAGAGACTGAAACATACAACATATTAAAATCAATTGATTCTTTATTTAAAAAAAAGTTTCTTACAACTATTATTTAAAAAAAAAATTCTTAAAAATTTCCTCAGAAACTGCTAAAATGGAACTTCTTAAAAAAGTCCAACCCAATGTTTTGTCATATTGATAGAGTACTTTTATATTTAATTCTACCAAAAATTAATTAATAATACGTATCACTACATTTATAATTTATACACGATTTTCCTTTTTAAGAAAAGTTTTGAATATCATATGGATCTGGCTGTAGATTAAGTTATCAACAGTAGATTATCAATTTTAATTTTAGAGGATTTCTGTTGTATTTTATGTTATTTAATTTGTTGACATAACGTCAACCATGGAGGAGACTCGACAATAGACAACAGCTGCTAGCAATGCCCTCTTTATCGATGCTGGTTGCGGAGTGGCTTACGGTACTCCACCCGAACCGTTAGAGTTCTGTCCCCGACCGATTATGGCAATTCTCGATGGCACTTGAGTCATGTCGTAGTGTCGGGGTCTGCGTCATCGAATCAAGCTCGGGGTTCTTCTATTGTTTTAATAAATTATAAATAAATATGTTTATCGAAATTTAAAATTGTATCTACAGTAGACTCTCGCTTATCCGTCCTCATCGGGATCGAGACATCCCCTGGCAATACAGAGGGTATGAAATAAAAAACAACTAAGGTGTGTGCTTTAGACTACACGACAGAAATTAAAACATCAATAAGGCGAGATTACTAATATGAAATACCATTACCAGAAAATTTTGAAGTGAAGAAATAGAGAAACAATATGGAAATAAGTAGATCCTATGTATTATGTAAGGAAGGAATTAATATTTTTTCCTTGGTCGATTACAATATTCCATTTAACATAATAGACCAGTATTAGTATTTGTACAAATTGCTTTGCCTATTTTTAAACGCTGATTGGGAAGAGATTAAAACCAAATAATGCCCCGATCATGGGATTTTCTAAATTATTAAAAAAATGAAATTTAAGAACAAACAAATACCTTTAAGAAATAATAAAGTTAATATATCTGCCTGGAAAAAAAGTTTTGTAGACTATTCTTCTCCTATACGCAATAGCTTTAAACAGGAAGACATTATTAGGTATGCCAAAACTATTGGACTGTATCCCTGCAAAATTTCGTGCGAATAGGTGGAAGAATATTGAAGTTAGGCCTTAGGTCAAATTTGTAGGAAAAAAAATTATTTTTCGGTCGCAATGAAAATTCATATTTGAGGGTCTTTCGAGTTGTGAAAAACAAATCTCATCTCTGTTTCTCCTTAAAAAAAATATATCAATACACTTTACTCCTTCGGTCTGTACAAATGGTTTAAATTTTACTAATTTCTATTTGATTTTTACGATTTTTGTTTTTGTTTTGTAGGTAATTTAGTTATCTTTCTAATTATCATGGGTACAATCAAGAAAAAAATGCATGATTTTTAAGTTATTCACGAATAAAGTTTCATTTCCTTCATAACTTTTTTCCAGAAATTTTGTGTGGATAGGTCTATTTTTCGCATGTGAAGGAGAAGAATATCTTCAAAATGAGTGATCAATCATTGATTTGATGAAGAATTGACGAATTTATGGCGCATCGACAAAAAAAAAAATACCTTTTAGAAATAATATATAGGATAATCTTCCACAAAACTCATTATTATTTGGTTACAGACAATATTTTTTCCTTTTTGCCTCTCTAACAGTGCGGCGCTTTAAGATACACTTTTGAATAATAGCCCATTACAGAGAGGATGAAATGCTGAACAATTCCTCTCTTACAGTATGCAGATTTTTAGTTTCTGGGATATTTTTATTCCTATCTTCAATAAAATTCGTATTAATTAGGGCGATCTAAAGTGACTGAGTTTGAACGGCGACTGGTGGAGGTAAGTATGTAAAAAGTGATTGGTGTTGTCGGCATCGAACCATCGAGTTCACTGAGGCTTTATTATTATTTATATCACGAACTGGAGTTCTTTCTTAGACTTACCTACTAATTTGTTGAATTTTTAAACAGAAATAAATATATTTAACAAGTAAACTTAATAAAATAAATAAATGTGTAAATTTAATTCATTAAAAACACAATGAGGTTATGATGAATCCAGTGGATCCATCAATCCCAAAAACCAATAGAAGAGCTTAAATCACCATTGGTGATTTAATCGATTGTTAAAGGAACGCGCTTTATGGACTTGCCCATCGACGAAGTGAGACATTATTTATTTGTACATTTATTAAAAATTATATTGACTACTATTTATAAAGCTACCATAGGAAACTAATAATAGTAACAGTGAAACGGCTGTTATATTGACAAAATGAAATCATTTTTAATTCGACATAAGGACCTAATAATTCCAATAGAGGCGACGAAACTGGATAATTCCGTATTATAATGTAATGTCCTCCCTGTCTCACCAGACTGCCAATCTAATTACCTATAACTTGGTTTGCAGTTTGCAATATGGCTGCCTAAATGCTTCCTTAATATCAAAAACATTCAGTCTTATACTGACCACGGTTCGGTTCGGATGTATCTAAATTTGTGATTATTCAGATATTTTGTGTGTTAGTTTTTAATATTATGTGTGTATAAGATATATATGGTGTATTCAGTGTCGTAATTGTTAAACAAGTGATTTCCAAATATATTTCATCGCTGTTAAAAAAAATGGGTGCCATCTTGATTCTATAACCATATTTAGAGTTTTAACTAACGTTTTAAAAATTTCGAATATTATAATGTGTAACTTTATCAATATTTGAAAACTATTTAATAAAAACACTTTTTTAAATAAATTTAAAAATTAATATTTTCTCACAAGAACGGACTGTTTTTTGTTTCGTTTGTCTAAATTAAATTAATCTTTAGATTCCATTGATTTTATATTATTATAATTAATTATGTACTTATTAAAAACGAATAGTTGACAACTTATGGAACAAAATAATTAAAAATCAAATTTATTTCTATTGAATACTATAACGAACATCGTAATTTTATATAAAACCTTATGCCTGGAAATATATTTAACTAATTGGAGTAGCGGATCCAGAATTTAATTTTCTATTCTATGTTTTAATAATTATAACGGTGAATACTCTAGACGTAATAGAAACAAACTATATAAAATTATGTTAAAATATTTCTTGACGTTCTATAAAAAAAAATAATAATCAAATAAATTAAGTTGATTATTTTGCTTTTAGAGATAGTTTTTTATTTTCTCTTGACACGGTGATAATATTTAATAGCTGTATGTACTTTATAATTGTGATTGTTAAATTAATTAGGTCAAATAGTTTTTTTTTTTGTCCTATCCTTCCTCATCCTTCAGAATATTTTCCTGAACCAGGGAGTAAGGTAAGTTAAATGTCCCCCTCCCCTCTCTTTCGGGTACCATTATTATTCTATCAAATTATCTTTCATCAGGGTTGCCGAGCAACCTGTAGTTCAGATAATTCACAGAAACAAACATATACAAATAAAAAATATATATATTTTTCTAATTTCGGGGCTTCAGTCCGAAAGCTCCCCTCCCCTCCTCCGTGGATCCGCCAGTCAACTAACGTTATATCATTTCGTCATTGAATAACGATTTAATCTAATATTAGTTTTATTCCACAATAAATCGAATATTTTATTACATTTTTAAAAAAAGTTGGTATATTAAAAACTGTTTGAAAGATATATAACTAATATTATATTATTTTTTCAAGCTATACTTTTTTAATTTAACAATAATTTATATTCCTTAACAAATCAAATCTATAATATTTAAAAAATAATGTAAGAATATTGAAGGAAACTGTATAAATACCTCTAAATAATAATCATTAAAATGTGTTATCAATTACAGTTATCTGATTTTTTTTTCATCATTAGGATAAAGAAAATTTAAAAATATATCTCTAATAATCCGATATTTATCTTAGTAATATAAATTAATAAATAATTAATAAAATACACATAAACAATTGAAAGGAGGCTGCGCTGTTATGAAGAATCTTTTAGTTTGAATATTTCGATTTTTTTCCTATAGAGTGTAATAGGGTAGGCGTTGGCGGTAAACTGCCTCAGCCAATCAGGAGCCAGCTTACATCGTAATTAAGGTAGCGTCGTCTCATTTTGAATAGTTCGGATTTAATGTGACTATGGTGCGGTTCGGTTTATTGTTAATAGTTCATTTGGAATAAGTGAATAGTGACTTAAGTGTGTGATAATGTTGATTTAGTTTAATTTATTTTTGTTCAGTCAATATTTCATTTAGTTCCGTATCGGAATCTGCTTGTTTTAAAAAACAAAGCGGATAATATTTGACCTCAAGAAAAAATATGGCCATTTTGGATTTGCTGTAAGTTATGAATTTTAAAGAATAAATGCATGATAATTATTTTTTTTCTTTATTTGATTAGATAAATCTTTTTTTCTTGCCTTTTCTTACAGAATAAACTTTATCATAACATACCGTTCCTTAATATTTAATGTAATAAGATTTAATTCATTATCTACTGTTATTTGATAAATAGGTTTGAAATTAATAAAGCTATACAGAAAATATTTGAATTCAGATCATCATTTAGATATCTTAAATGAAGTTTCTTAAAAATAAATAATATTCAAGAGTAAGATTTTTAGGATGTTGACCTTATAGATATTTTATAGGCTCTGGACTTTTAACCGGCTATAATTTAGTTGCCATTTTCAGTTTTTGACCTTGTCTTTTTTTTTTTTTTTTAGAATATGCCATTTTATATATAATAGATTGTTTTCGTTGGTAACTAATCGTATTTAGATGAGACCGTACGGGATATGCGTGGTTCACAATCACTTCGGTCACACCTCCGAATGTATCCGGGTTTATCCGAAAGACTGTTTGGCGTTTCATGAACAAGTGTGACCGAAGTGATCGTGAACCAAGCGTTTAAACTTTTCTTTACTTTTTATTGTGGGCTGTTGTATTTGTTTTCTTCATTTTTATACTAAAATCTTCAGGATGTTGATTTAGTGAACCAAAAATAAAGTATTAAATTTTATAATTGAAAATTATGTTAATTTCGGGCTGATTGTTGGTCGCGAACTTAAGAACTGACTATAATCATAATGGAAATTTCTACTGAAAAATAAGAATATAATTCATAAAATAATATATATATGATTCATTAAATGCTCAGTGGAGTATCTGTACCATTTTCAGAATTTTACAATTGAAAGTAGATTAACTTTCATTTTATTTGATGTGCATATTTGAATTAATACAAAGTAATTTGATTGGTTGCATGCAATTTGACTTTCGTACGACTTTTTCAGATAGACTTTTAACACACACACACATAGATCCTTTTGTAGGACTTGGTTATTTGGACTCAGGGGACCTCAAAATCTGTATTTCCGTTGAAAACTGAGATTTGAAAATTTGCACGATCGCAATACTTTACTTTACTATATATTTCATATATAAGTAAGTGAAAGTAAAAAA